TATTATATATATCATATTAAGTAATTGTGTAATTTTAAAATTCTTATTCCATGTTGAGTTCTAATCTCATTCTAATTTAACTTTTATATTATAAAATGTATCTTTAACTTTAGAAAAGATAGTAGTACTCTAAAAGAAAACTTCTTGTAATTTTGTCTTTTACTTGAATTAGAGCTAAGGTGGGTTGGGAGCCTATTGTGCAAGGTATCCTAAGTTGGTAATAAAGAAAGTCGAGATAGATGCAGACGAAAGGTATTCTTGAGCTTGTTCCTAAGCGCTAATGTCACGGTGACAAGGAGTTCTTGGTCTTGTTCCTAGGCGCCAATGTCATGAAACAGCAAACGGTATCGTTTACATTTTTAGTTGCGGTCATTTCGTGACCAAGTGTCTCTTGCTTCGGTCGCTACAATTAGACAAAATAAAGGAAGTTCCGAACAAGCTCCAATCTTCATCCACAGCCAGAAAAATATCAAGGCAAGCAAAACAGAGCAGAGATAAAACCAAATACGTGGCTGAGAATGTTTCTTCAGTTTGACAACTCTTGAAGCACAGAAAACAAAAGCCTTCTTCTTGTCAAATAAAACAGAGAAAGATAAAAGCAGGGCAATGGTTTCACTATGCTTGAATTCATTGCCACTGCCACCTTCTTCACAACCCAAAAAGCTTACTGGAACTTCTTTGTCATCCTCTTCTTTCAGTAATGGTAGTGTAGGAACGGCCCTGAAGCCCATTGTTGTCAGTGGAAATCCTCCCACTTTTGTTTCTGCTCCTGGTCGTCGTATAGTTGCAGGTTTCTTTTTTTTTTTTTTTTTTTTTTTTTTTTTTTCTTGTTACAGCTCCATGTAACTTAAAGTTGAATTTCATGCTCAAGTTTTCTGGTTTGTTATAGCTCTTGATTCTTGAATGTTGATTTCTGTAGCTTTGGGAAATCTTTGTTGGGTGGTAGAAGGACTTGGGACTTAAACCAGTCACTATCAGTTGGCATTGAATCAGATCATAGGAAAATTAGAACCGTTTTATCTTGATCACTGTTATTGCTTAAATGCCTGCTTTCGAGTCTTGAATTAAGGCTTTTGCACTCCTCAGTCCAGGACTTTGCATAAAATTTGCTTTCGAGTCTCGAACATGTAAAAACTCTGGATGCTTGTTTGAGATGTATGCTCAATATTTCAAAGTATTTGCACAATCTGTTGTTGATTAACTGATACAAAGGTAGAATGTGTTGATTAACTGATAATACAAATACAGAATGAATATTCAAAGTCGTAAAAGGACTTTGTTTGATTGGTGGACAATGTCTTGGGGAACTTTTTGCTCATTAGTATTGTTTATTCTGTTCATCACTTCTGAAGTAATGTATATCTTTATTTGTCTCATGAGTAGTTGGCGATCTACATGGAGACCTTGACCAAGCAAGAAGTGCACTTGAGATGGCTGGCGTCTTGAGTTCTGATGGTGAAGACTTATGGACGGGAGGAGATTCGGTATGCTTCTTCTTCTTCTTTTGTTGATAACATCTTGAAGAAGTTCTGCAGTGACTCCAGAATTCATATTCTCTATTTCCTACTTTGAAAGAATTGTGCTAAGTTTGCAGTTCTATTGTTATCGATTTCTTATTATCACAGTGGCTGCTAGACCTATACCAAATTTAACATTATCGTTTATGTAGATAAGCTTATCCATGTATAGAATTGTTTCTCTAATCTGAATTCCATCTGATTCTTATGTTACTGTTTGAGAAAGTAGGTATTGGTTCAGCTTGGAGATGTACTTGATCGAGGTGATGATGAAATAGCCATCTTATCGTTGTTGCGATCATTAGACATACAAGCGAAGGCTAAAGGTGGAGCTGTTTTCCAGGTTTGTGGTGCTAAAAGTAGAACAGATTGGGTGTATCTTATTTTTGAAGTTCAAGTTGCTGCATTTTTAAATCCAGTTTGCATATGAAGCATGCCTAATTCTTTACACGTGCAACATCTTTCTGACTACTTAAGATGAGTCATGGTTCTAGCAAAACCTACTGGATTCCTTTTCAAGATTTCCTTGACTTACACTTTAATAGCTCTTATTGGAAGGATTACTTCTGAAACTTTGAGGTCTACTTTCTGCAATTTTCACCAGAATAGAATGCTGATAGTCATCTTCTTGATGCAGGTCAATGGAAATCATGAGACTATGAATGTGGAAGGGGATTTTAGATATGTAGAATCTGGGGCTTTTGATGAGTGTGCTGATTTCCTTGAATACTTGAATGACTATCAATATGACTGGGAGGGAGCATTAGCCAACTGGTGTAGCATGTCTAGAACGTGGACAGATGAACAGAAAATGTCTAGAAACAATTTGGGGCCATGGAATCTGGTAAAGGTACTAAAATTCTTAGTGCTCTCAGTTTACTGAGCTAATATGTTTCTTCTTGTTCTTAGAAAAGTTCACTGATCATAAATATGAAGGCATTTCCTATTTCATCTATGCTTCTTACTTGTTAGTTACTTGTATAATCTTCAGAATATAGGGTAATTAGACACTTTCTATGTCCTCTCCTTTCATGAAAAAGCCTTTCTGATGAAGATGTCAAATTATTAGGACAGAGACAAAAAGGTGTGATTGCCAGATCAGTTCTGTTTAGACCGGGTGGTCCACTTGCGTGTGAGTTGGCACGACATGCTGTAGTTCTGAAGGTTAATGACTGGATCTTCTGTCATGGTGGCCTCCTTCCTCACCATGGTAAAAGCATTTTTGCATGAATCAGTTTAGTAAGATCATTATCATTTGTCAAATAATATGTAAGAAGTCTTTTTCTTTTATCATTTTGTTTGAAATGTCTGATAGGAATCTTGGTACTTCCACAGTTTCATATGGCATAGAGAGGATGAATATGGAAGTATCTAAGTGGATGAGAGGTCTGATTGACAAGGATAGCAGTCCTCACATGCCCTTCATAGCCACCAAAGGCTATGATAGCGTTGTTTGGAACCGCCTATACTCTAGGGATATTTCAGACTCGGAGGATTGTCGGATTAACCAGGCAAGTGTACTAACGAAAATGTTCTATTCTTATGTGCCTTCAAGAACTAAAATTATTTGTTCATTAGCAGATAAATGCTATTCTTGAAGAGACACTGCAAGCAGTAGGAGCTAAGGCAATGGTGGTAGGACACACACCTCAATACTCAGGAGCAAATTGGTATGCAAACTTTCTTGAAACAATCTTTAAAACCAGTCGGGATCCAGTCTTTATATGCAACAGATTCATCCTTTCTATACATAGTTATTAACATTTAGCCTTGACTGCAGTGCGTACAATTGCAGCATCTGGCGCATTGATGTGGGAATGTCCAGTGGAGTTCTTAATTCAAGACCAGAGGTGAACTAAACATATAACAGTATCTTATACTGTCTCAAAAATGTAGAGCTGAAGTCCAAGGAATCAAACCCCGACACCATCCCTCACCCTCTCCATAAATTGACAAAAGAAAAAGAAAAATGATTGTTAATGAAGCAATGCAGGCCACTCTTCTAGAGTCTAAATTTCTCAACGTCACCCAAGCGCCCCGTTTTTATTCTTTGATTGCACACTGCTTGAGATTGCATATGCAGTGTGAATTTATTGTCTCATTGGAACTGCATTTATCTTCGAATGCCAGTTGAGAGAGAATTTTATGTTTTGACATCTGCTAACCAGGTTCTAGAAATAAGAGATGATAAAGCAAGGGTAATAAGGAGCAGAAGGGACACGTTGAGTGAGCTTCAGATTGTCAACTACGTATAGATACAGAATGCAAATGACCAGGTATGATTACTCCCCTTCTTGTTTCTATGATCACATGAGGTTTCAGATGCATTAGTCAAGAGTGCTTACATGAGCTTTTTTCGTATAATTCAAGCTTGACCAAAACACTGCAACTAATAAACCATGAAATCAGACTTGGGAATGCCACAGATTTCTCTTTATGTTTTACTTTCGATCCCTGCAACCCAAGTTCTTTAAGAAACTTGAAATTTAGAACATTTCTCTGCAAATTTCCATTAATCTGAGGCAATATTGGTAGCATTTATATTCAGAATGGCCATTCAACAATAATTTCCTGCAGGAAAAATATGCAGACTAGGTTGCACAGGCTGAAAATTATGATTTTCATGATGAAAAAACACTTGTTTCATGTATGTTTCTTTCTGTGTTTACAGGATGTATATGAAGTAAATCTTTTTCCAACTGCAGTTTGATTTATAGCTTCCTGGAATCATCATCCATCTACCCGCCAGCATGGTTTGCCTGTAAGAAGCATGTTCAACAACAAAGAATCGAAGGCAATTTTTTTGTAAATCAACAGACAGGGGGAAAGATGCCAAGTACTCTTCGTCTTTATCATGCTGAGAAGCTGAAGTTGATTCCGGAACCTGACTTACTTCATGTCCAAACAATTCCTTCAAGTCTAAAGTTTTTGTAAAAATATATATAGATATATTGGAGAGTATTATTTGATTATTCTTAATTTTATAGTAATTTACTCAAGTGTTTTTAGAAATAAATTTACCTTCCAATAGCAGTAATTTGTTTATGAAAAACGCTAGTAGACAGTAAAGAATTTTTTATAAAGGGTTTAAATTTAATTCATTGTGCATTGGATATATATATATATATATATATATATATATTTTTTTTCGTCCCATTTTCTTTATCTATATGCCTTAAACTATGGAGTTTTTACTTTTTTTATTTAAAGAATTTTAAAAATTTAAATATAAATATATTAAAAGCAACATTTTTATCTTAATTTCTGTACAAATTAGAGACAAAAATAATACGAAATAAATCTAGTAAAATTAGCATATTATATCTATCTATTTATTATTTTTATTACTATAAATAAATAGAAGGACCTTTTTCTTTTTGTAAGTAATTTTGTCAGTGAAGGTAGATGGCCGGTTTCGTTGGTTTTGTAGCCAATCTCCAACGTCAACGTCTGCCTTTGTAATCTCCGCTATATATATATATATATATATATATATATATTGGAACAACGATCCCCTATGCACACTCTGCTTCACCTGCGCCTTGCTTCTTCCACCAATTCCCACTACTCTCTCTTCGCAATGTCTGCTGCCTCTCTCGCTCTCCCTTCTTCTCTTTCTTCGCTCCGCTCCAATGGAGCTGCTCCACCTCGATGCTTCTGCCTTCACAATCCCTCTCGATCTAGGGTTTTCATGAGCGTTTCCGTCGGATCTCAAGCTGTCGTCGATGATGCCTTGTTCGCTGATTACAAGCCCACCTCCGCTTTCCTCTTTCCCGGCCAGGTTAGTTCTTTGCTTAATGAATTCTGGAGAATTTTAAGCTCTGGGAAATGAAAATCTGTTCTTTTCCGAGGTCAAATGTTACTAATTTGAAAGGTTTTCCTTTAATCTGCCATGGTTTTCTTTGTTAATTTCGAAATGTGAAATGAAAACTTTCAGGGCGCACAAGCAGTTGGAATGGGAAAAGAGGCGCAGAGTGTGCCTGCTGCTGCAGAATTGTACAAGAAGGCAAATGATATATTAGGGTAATGCTCCCAAAAATCTTTTCTTTCTCTTTTTTGGTGAAAAAAAGAATCTTCTTTTGATTCACTTTGTTTTGGATTAAGGTCCCCATTGACTATCGTTTAACACAGAATTCGTATTTTGCTATCGCCTGTAATTAACTACGTTTGAGCTGCTTGCAGTTTTGATCTTCTGGATGTTTGCATCAATGGTCCTAAGGAAAAGTTAGATTCGACTGTCATAAGTCAGGTACCTTGCATTGCTTATTTCCTTTCGTTTAATGATTTTGTCTTGCCAGTGATCTATTGTCATTTATCCCATTGTGAAGAACTAATAAGTTGGCGTGTGATTTTGCAGCCTGCTATTTATGTCACAAGTCTAGCTGCTGTGGAGCTGCTTCGAGCTCGTGATGGAGGCCAGCAGATTATTGACTCTGTTGATGTGACATGCGGCCTCAGCTTGGGAGAATATACCGCACTAGCATTTGCCGGGGCCTTTAGGTGAGCCATTTAGATGCCAATTATTGAACTAGTGACTTATTTGAACTTATGCAAATTACTTTACAGTCTGTTTTTCTATACCTTAATGACTTATTAAATCATCCAGAGGCTGCATTCCCATATTTAAGGCATACAGAAATTACCATTGTCCTTCTTCAATGTGTCTACTACTGTTTGAGTTATTATGTTATGTGAAACTAGAAAAACAATGTGCCTGCTAATATTCCTTATTCTTCTTTGAATTTGATTTCATGTATAAAGCTTTGAGGAGGGACTGAAGCTGGTCAAACTAAGAGGAGAAGCAATGCAGGTAACAATCAATTTCTGTCTGATAGTGTCTTCTAGTGTAGATGATTTCATGATTCCTGTTGATAATGATTGTTCTTTTCTGCTTTTAGGAAGCTGCTGATGCTGCTAAAAGTGCTATGGTCAGTGTCATAGGACTTGATTCTGAGAAGGTTCAGCAGTTATGTGATGCTGCCAACCAAGAAGTTGATGAAGCCGATAAAGTTCAGATTGCAAATTATTTGTGTCCTGTAAGATTCTTTCATTCCTGTGTCATTGATCAATTGAGTCTTGCTTGGGTTTTATGCTTATTAGGAGACCTGTTATGTGCTGACTTGGCCACTGAAAATGCGCTTACTTTGGCAGGGAAATTATGCGGTATCTGGGGGTGTCAAAGGAGTGGAAGCAGTTGAAGCTAAAGCAAAGTCATTCAAGGCTCGGATGACGGTAATTTTTTTTTTTTTCATTCTACCTAAAAATGTGATCTTTCTCCCTTTGCCTTGATTGATAGTAAATCATTTAGCTTCACAAAAATGGGTTAATGTGGCAATCTAGCTATATCCTGACTGCTAGTGATAACATATTTTTCCCCTTTCACAGGTTCGTTTAGCTGTTGCTGGTGCTTTTCACACTAGTTTCATGGATCCTGCAGTCTCAAGACTGGAAGCTGCATTGGCAGCAACCCAGGTCAGAACCCCAAGAATACCTGTTATATCGAATGTTGATGCTCAGCCACATGCAGATTCTGAGACAATAAAGAAGATACTAGCACGTCAGGTAAGCTACTTAATCTTGGTTCTTGCCACCATGGTCAAAGAATAGCAATTAAACCTTATGGTTGAAATTGCAGGTGACATCTCCTGTTCAATGGGAAACAACAGTGAAAACTTTGCTGACCAAAGGGCTGAAGAAGAGCTATGAGTTGGGGCCTGGAAAGGTAAAAATCTTATTGACTGCTTAGATCCAAGCTGCTGCTTATTCTTCTTCTTTCTCTCGCACTCTCTCTTTCTCTCCCTCATTCATGGTCTCTGTTTCTCATGAGTTTGGGACATGTATCAGGTTATAGCTGGCATTGTGAAGAGAATGGATAAAGGTGCCGAGATTGAGAACATTGGTGCTTGAGGAGTCAGTAGATGTAACTATCTGAGTTATTCCATACAGCCATGTCAAAAAACGGTGTACCATTTTGTGCGGAGGGCAGAGTTTACGCATTCAATCCAAGCCAAGGAAAATATAGTTGCAGTTTTGCGCAGTTAGCTATGACCAGATTGAGGACTGTCTAGCCATATTCCGAGACTTCTTTTTTGTGTTTTCTGATTTCAGATTTCAGGAAACAAATGAGCAAGTTAATTAGGCAGGAAGAAATAGCTAAGAACACTCGCTTAATTTCATCATCGTCAATTCTTTTAAGCTGCGGTGGCAACAGTCTACTAAGTTAATTTCCTATGGCATATCTTGTGTTATAAGAACTCAAACTAGTTTGTTTCCTGAGTTCCACTGTTGGACAATGTCATTGATGCTTTTCTAAGTTTGTTCAATAACAGTAGCGTTCCCCAGATCCATCATT